AGTCTGCGCTCCTACTGTAGCTGCAGGAGAGTGTGACTTTCCAGCCTCCCATGCAGCTAGGGTGCCCACCAGTCATGCACCCACACCAGACAAAGAAGTGACTACCATGCCCAGCTTCCAGAGGCAACCAGGCCAGAAGCTCGCATGGTGGGACCCAAGGAATGCAGCTTTGTTCTGCACTGGGATTCCTGATGTGGTCTCCAGCCCTGGCTCTCAGAGCTCCAGGGGCTTCCTAAGCTCTTCTAGAACATTCCTTCCCCACCGGGCTCACCAAAGTTGGTTCCTTGTTCCAGTTGCTTCCTAGTCCCAGTGTTCCACTGTTTGCGGCTGAGAGCACACTGGGGTGGGGGTTCCCGGGCCCTGTGGAGCCTGAGCCCCGCCGCCGACCGTTTCCTGGGTGTGTGAGAGAGACTCCACTTCTGGGCAGAATGCAGTTCTGCCCAGTTAAAAACGATTAAGAAGTGATTCAGCCAAATGAGAGGAGCAGTGAGTGACAGAACCCATGACAGACAAACATCAGGACTCCTGTTTTCTTTTCCCCAAAAAATGACACCAGTCACAAAGGACCATGTTTCTAGGAAATGTTCAGGAAGTAGACAAGCGGTTGCCAGGGACGAAGAGAGGCTACTGCCTCATGGGCACAGGGTGTCTTTTAGGATGATTACAATATTCTGAAGTTGGAAGTACTGATGATGAGTGGACAGGTCTACGAATATGCCAGAATTCAGCAAACTGAACACTGTAAGTAGGTATATCGCATGGTATTTGAATTCTATCTCAATGAAGCTGATTATTTTTTTAAGTTTATTTATGTATTCCGAGAGAGAGAAAGAGAGAGAGAGAGAGGGCAGGGGAGGGGCGGAGAGGGAATCCCAAGCAGACTCCATGCTGTCAGCACAGAGCCCGACGTGGGGCTCACACTCACAAACCGGGAGATCATGACCTGAGCCGAAATCAAGAATCTGACACTTAACCGACTGAGCCACCCAGGTGCCCCTGAAGCTGATATTTTTTTTAAAAAAGAACGTGAACATATCTTTGCCTTTTATAAGGCAGTCAGTCAACAAATGTTCATTAAGCACCCACGGGGAGTCAGGCACTGTGTTAGTTCCAGGGGCACCTTGGTGAGCAAATCAGACATGGTCCCTGCCCTCCTGGAGTTCACAGTTTAGTGGGAGAGATGCAAAAGTCACCCTTTTTAATGCCTAACTACAAAATGGAAAACGTGCTGAGAAGAGAAAGAAGAGGGCTCCAGGAGAGCTGAAGGGTCAGAAAGGGCTTCCCTGCAGAAGCCACACTGGAGCTGATGAACGATCTAGAGGAGCGAGGTGGAGAAATGTCTTACACTGAGGTGGGAAAGCAAGTGCAAAGGCCCTGTGGCAGCAGGGCTAACCAGGGACCTGTGTGGCCAGAACACAGGGAATAAGGGATGGATCAATGGGGCCTCAAAACTGAGATGGTGAATCTAGACTCTGGTCTTGCAGCAGGAAGTGACTGCAAGTTGGGAGCAAAGGTGAACACCATCAGGTTCACAATCTGGTCCCTCTGGATACTGAGAGGAGGGCTGTGGGGGTCAGGAACGCTGCTAGAGGCAGGAGGGGGCTGGCTGGGGGTTGCAGGGACAACGGGCAAGAATAGGTGGTTCAGAGGCACAGACGAAGTGAACCCAGGGGGTGCGAGAGAGTGCTCAGTGCCCCCCCCCCGCTTGGTTTCCACCTGCTGTCATCCTGATCCTTTCGATTTCTGGTCTGATGAGTCATCTGAGAGTCATCACCCCCACAACTGCTGCTGTTTTTTTCTTTTTAACAATGAACTTGTTTTTTGCCACTGAGCCATTACCTTACACGCCAACGGATTTGGAGGCCCTCTGTCAAATATAGCCCTGGGGAAAAATTTTAAACGCTATTTAATAAAAGATGCACCATCACATGGCTGTCACTACAGGCTCTACTCAAGGCTGTCACGATCTGGCCCGTGCAGAGCTGGGGTCCGGCTGGTAACCCTCTGGAGCGTGACTCTGGGGCAGAATGCCCCGACATGCTTCCTCAGGGCCTGTGCTGGCCATGACCAATCCTGCCGCCCTTTCTCCAAGTGGCTTCTTGGAGACCCTGGCGTGCTGGTCACCACAGCCCTGGGCCAGAACACCCCCAGTCTGGCGGAGTCACAGGGTGGCCTCCCCCTGACCCAGGACAGGCTCGTAAAATATTAACGACTTGTTAACGTTCTTCTGAATGCACCCATCTGCTAAGATGGTGTCCCCAGAACCCCCTTTTCCAGAAGTCTGCTCTGAAGCAAGCTGGGGGACGGAACCACTTTCAGAACATAAAGCGCCTCCATTTTCCAGTCACACACCCCACTCCACCCCCATCAGAAACCCGAGCATGGCCTCTCCTGGGGCATCTCTCTCATCTATGAAGTCCCAGTTCCTTGGGTCACCTCCTGAATATTCTGGAATCCACCTCCTCCTCTCCAACTCCCTTTGTCTGCCCTGGTTCAGGCCTGGTTCCATTTGCCTGGAAGACCAGGCCAGTCCCCCTTGCTCTGGCCTCCTGTCTCCTAGTCCCTGCTGCCAGCCCCCCGGGGCACCATTTGTGCCATCGAGGGGGAGACTGTTCACTGGTCTCCCTGACTCTCTTGCTCTCTCTTTCTCCCTCCCTCCCCTCCTACTTGACTCACTTCCATGTGCCCCTAAAGACTCCTCTCAGAAGTCACCCTTGGGAAGCCCCCTTGACCTCGGGTGGGGTCACCCCCCCCCCCACTCCCACAGCCACGCTTCACCTACTGTGCTGTAGTGTCTGTTTTGGGCCCGTCTTCACAGTCAAGCCCTACATGGTCGGATGGGGCAAGCACAGCTCCTCACAGGGCTCCGGGGTGCCCTGCACACACACAGGGGACATCACTGGGGCTGTACCTGGGATCAGCACAGGTTCCGGCGCTAAGAATAAGCCACAAGAGGGCCCTGGGACACACAGGAGCTCAGGGCAATTCTTGCTGCTGCCTGATCTTCCGGCCCTGAGCCGGTTCGTTCATGTTTTCACTCAGCCAACACCAGTGGAACCCTTTTCCTCCTCGCCATACCCGAGCTGGGTGTCTGGGCCCAGAGGGCCTCTCCATCTGGTGCTGGAGCCAGGCCTGGACAGGACAGCGCGAGACAGGCGCTGTTGGACACAGCTGGTGAGGGTGGGAGGCACTTGGAACGCTTAGAGGCCAAGAGGGACCTAGGTTCCACAGCAGCAGCATTTCAAAAGCGGCTGCCCAAAGCGGCTGGCTCCCATGGCCAGATGTCACCCAGGACACAGGAGCCTGAGCTCCTGACTGCATTTGAATCGGCTTCTGCCTGCACCTGGAGGTATTACAGCCGAAGGGGCTGCAAGTAGGATGGAGGATAAACCACTAGGGACCAGGGCTTCATGGGTTTTGAAAGCAAAACCTCCCTGAAGTGTTTGCCTGGGAGACAGTACTGCTAAATCCGCGGAAGCTGCATTAGCGGTGGCCTCTTGGCCCTGAAATGCAAGGATGAGTTTCCCTGGGGCCCATTAGGAGATGGGGCACCTCGAAAATGCAGTTAGGGCTGTGCGTCAAAAGGACAGGCTCGGGGCAGACCCCAGGGCGGAAGGGGTGAAACGGGGCTGGGCCCCGGGCGCAGATGCCCCTTTCCCCACACCAGCGAGGGCACCGCTAGGGGGACGGAGACCGCGTTTATTCACCTCTGAGGAGGGCGGGTACACATGGGTCACGGCCGGGCGCCGTGCAGG